TCCGTCTGTAGCGGGTCAGGAGGTCGTCGTGTAGCGGGTCACAGTGGACATGATCCGCCACACAGCGTGACCGTAGAGCATTGATGAATACCGCCCGTGCTCATGTTTACGAGACTCAACTCTGGCCGCGGTCCGTGCCAGGCATGCAAACACACATCGACAGCCATACGCCTCACTGAACACTGAGGGTCCTTCCCAGACACCAGAGGCCAAATCACTCTCTATATACAGCAAATAGATTCATCTTATATCATTTACACCTCTGCCTTTGTTCAAGGGAACACTTTGCTGACATGCTCGGTTTCCACTTAACGTCCGTTGTACAATCTGGGTCATGAAACTGCATACGCAGACAGCCGAAGCAGGATAAACACAATGAGGACTATATATGAATGCATGAGGGCGTGAGACAGGAAGTCCATCTGTCACATTTGGAGCACTTAGATCCAATCATCGCTCCATCACTGGGAACATGAAACCATGATGAATTTAGTTTAGGGTGTAAATGGTGTGGAGGCTGAACCAAGGTGACAGAAATCTACTCAAAGAGCAAACGCCACAGACGCGCAGACGCTAGTGCCTCTGGCTGACCAGCTAAACCAGTTTCACATCAGATCCGACCATAGACTGTAGAAAAAGATGGACGACGCCCCTTCGCTCTTTTCCATCAGAGAGAACTGAAGCCGCCAGTGTCTCGATATGACGCTGACATCTTGGAACTTGAGTCTGCGCACTTGCGTGTTTCGGGACAAGACATGCGCAGTCGTGAGCAGGAAGTAAAGGCGCGAAACCAAGGCCCCGCCCTCATTCTCGCTGAATCTAACGCAAGCACACGCCCCGCACTTTCATTAAGTGGCCTCTGTCTGCTTCGTTCCTCTCCAATGATATCTGCCGATTGCAGAACCTCGTTAAAATAAGGTAATTACAACTACTAACCACATAATCAACATTATTAAAAAAAAAGTCCGCTGGTCCGCACAGAGAACCTGTCAATCACAGCTGTCAATCATGATGTCAGAGCACCGTTTTATCATCACTAAAAACAAACTTATTTTAAAAACGAACACTTGAAATTACATCAACGTGATAGAAACTACAGTAAATGACAGAAACTATCTTTGGATAAAGGATATGTGAAGTGTAATTTAATTGTTTAGTTGGTCTCCCGTCCCGTTGAATAACATGGGGAGGCGGGGTTTATGAGCTATACTAGGACCGGCCACAGGGGGGCGATCGAGACGTTTTGGCTTCACTTTTGAGGGCTTGTGCGGCACGCTTGGATCCGACGCATTCAGACAGAGACGTCCGACGCGCTTTAAATAGGAAGCTAAGAACCAGTGATGCGGCGCTGAAAACGTTCTTGCTTTAACGTTACGGTAACTTCCTCTCCGAAACACTTGCGCGGTTTAAAAACGCAGCAAAAACAGCCGGTTTGATGCTAACAGTCTTTGAATTAATACGCATCTAGAGATGCAACAGGGCTAGTTCAACCCAAAACTGAAATTTCTATCATTAATTACTTACCAAAACGTAACACTTTCACGCTCAGAAACACGTTTGTTTTCAGAAAATGCAGCTTTGAGTGTCTCAAAATTTTTCATAGTGTCAGTTTTTTTTGGTTTTTTACTGTAAAACCCCAAAAGTTAAGTTAACCAATAAAATTTGAGAAAACGGATTACGCTATTCAAGTTTAACAAACAATATTTATGAGGTAAAGTGAACTTTCGATGACAGAAGGTATGCGAGTAGATTCAGATCACCAGGTTTTGATCAGGTTGATCATTTATAGGCTTTAGAAATTTGCATATCAAATACAATACCGCAGGTTTGATTGGATTAAACTCGTCACAAAATCGAAGTCGCGCTAGTCTTTTCTTCTCGATTGTGCCGTATATCCGAGCGAAACACGTCTGGAACAAGAAATGTAGGCGGGGCTTGATTTTGTTCATGGGAGACTTGATTGGATGGTTGTGGTTTGCTATTGGCTGATCTCATGTGATTGACAGGTTGCCCCGCCCTCGTCATCAGAGAGGAGATACGCTGCAAGAGGGAGGGGAAGTTACTGTGATTAAAGATTAAGAGACACAAGAATAAAAAAAGTAATCTGTAATGATGTGCCTGTACAGATAAGTAATGTATAATAAATACTACAACATTTCATAAAAAATAATGATTAATATAATGAGTTATTGAGTTCACGAAACTCGTAATTGCTATTAACTTTTAGTAAATTGCACTATTGGGTTTTACAGATGGAAAAAAACAAAAAAAAAAACATGTCAGTGCCGTGATACAAAACACACTAAGTAAATTGATATTATTCCAAGGTTTTAAAAAAATATATATTTTATTGTAAAACAATTCAAAAGAGACTAATTAAAAAACGTGTTTTTTTTTTTGTTTTTTTTTCAACGATCATGAGAATACAAATTAGACAGTTTTTGGACATCAGAACAGATCAAAACGTCAATGAATAAATGAATGTGTGAGAGACTCAGGAGTGTGTGTGTGTGTGTGTGTGTGTGTGTGTCAAACCCCCATCAGGGGTTTCCCTCTCCTCCATCCAGGCCTTCTCTAGATTAAAACAGAGTGAGCGAGAGAAAGCTTTGGGCTGAATGACTCTCTCTCTCTCTCTCTCTGTGCAGATTTATGGGGCCCTCTAATGGACTCTAGAGAAAAACCCCTCCGTCAGCGAGTCACTCCTCCACCCTACATGTCTTTCTTTCTCTCCTATCCGTTTCTAAAGCTACTCTTTCTCTCGCTCAGGAAACGTTCTCCACACATGCTGGCCAAACTGTGTGTTTTAACATCTATTTTGTAACCAATTCAAGTGTGACCGTAACCAAATACACTTTCAGAAAAAAAGGTACAAAAGTACACTTTTGTATCCAAAGGCTGCATATTGGTACCTTAGTGGTACATATTAGCACCTAAAATGTACATATTAGCTCATGAAATGGACATATTAGCACCTAAAATGTACATATTACCACCTAAAATGGACATATTACCACCTAAAATGTACATATTAACACCTAAAATTGACATATTACCACCTAAAATTGACATATTGGCACCTAAAATGGACATATTACCACCTAAAATGTACATATTAACACCTAAAATGGACATATTAGCACCTAAAATGGACATATTACCACCTAAAATGTACATATTAACACCTAAAATTGATATATTACCACCTAAAATGGACATATTACCACCTAAAATGTACATATTAACACCTAAAATTGACATATTACCACCTAAAATGTACATATTAACACCTAAAATGGACATATTAGCACCTAAAATGGACATATTACCACCTAAAATGTACATATTAACACCTAAAATTGATATATTACCACCTAAAATGGACATATTACCACCTAAAATGTACATATTAACACCTAAAATGGACATATTAGCACCTAAAATGGACATATTACCACCTAAAATGTACATATTAACACCTAAAATTGACATATTACCACCTAAAATGTACATATTAACACCTAAAATGGACATATTACCACCTAAAATGTACATATTACCACCTAAAATGGACATATTAGCACCTAAAATGGAAATATTATCACCTAAAATGGACATATAGTATTAGCACCTAAAATGGACAAAAGTTTACCTTTCGAAAAGGTACAGCCCCAGTTACAGCTTTTGTACCTTTTTTTCTGAGAGTGTACTATAGATGAATATCAATTATAGATGAAGTGCTAACAAGTTGTGATTCAGTGTTAATGTCTATTCAGAATACACACACACTCTTCGAACCGAGCTTATGTTTTCATTGTACAAATGTATTTGAAGAGAAGCATCTGAGTCAAAGTTGACACTACAACTATAGGTTTTAGTCATTTTATTAGCTATGAAAGCGTGTGTGTGTGTGTGTGTGTGTGTGTAGGAGGCTGTGGAAGTTCAGTTTCATGAATAAATGCTGGAGTTTCCTTATAAACACAGCAGTCAATACAACACAGGAATATAAATCTAGCTCTCCTGCCTGCTGACAGATATTCAACACCATCAATCCTGACACACACACACACACACACATGCAGTTTTTGAGTGTACGTTCAGTCAAAATCATCCACGAGCCCACAGAAAATGTGTTTCTGAAGCAACAGAGATAGTGACACGTACTTGAACTTGCTTTCTGACACGTTTCATAACAAGCGATGTGTAAAATCACACTGGAATAATTCTTTTTGCAATAGAAATGCAATAGACATGTCATCGCTCGCACTACTTTGGCCTCTAATAGATACAGTGTTGAACTGGATTTATACGCGAATTATGTGTTTTTGGAAAGCATTTAAAGTATTTCTTATAATGGTTTTAGTTTTAGCTAACAATATTAACCCTGAATAGCATATTCGTTTTTGCTGTGATATCAAAGAGAATTAAATGAAATTTCATAAACTACTAAAATGCTGGTGTGGCAGCATCCTTAGTTTACACAATTAATAACAATGAACAAAAAAAAAACAGTTCTCTATTCTAGTATAGAAATATCAAGGCAACGTAAATGAGTGTGTGTGTGAGTGTGAGAGAGAGAGAGAGAGTGTGTGTGTGTGCATAAAAAGTGAGTTTAATTGGGTTTTGAGGCCAAGTAATAACCACTTAAGTTTGCAAACAAGTTCCTGGTGGCTTGATAAATGTGCTTAATTTAAAAATAACCTTGTTACTCCAATTTAAGCGTTGAAAAGCAGGGAGATTTTGAGCCTATTTACAGTTATTAAGCAGCCGATGAGGGCGACAAAATGAAGCCTGTCCAGATATTCACTGCAATTCATCAATTACTGAAACGCGCAGAAACGTTGGGAGGGATGCGAGGGCCTGAACACACCAGAGGGCCGGACGGGATATTAGCTGATCCGTCTTAGGGAAACCTCGGCGGACAGAAACCTCACCGTGACTGAACGCCAACAAAACAGCCGTTTCATGCGAACACCACAGCAGCGTTTGTTCTCGGCACTGACCTGTCCAGAGGGGAATATCCATGAACTGAGCGCTTGATGAAGAGGGTCTCGGTGTCTCCACACACACACGGTTCCTGGTCCTGAAACACACACACACACACACAAGAATGAATTATGTGGGATAAACATCCATTTGACAGCATGACACTCCATATCTGAACAATACACAACAATTAGTGTTTACATTTTAAAGGTTTGGGGTCAGTAAGATTATATTATATTTAAATATTCTATTCTATTCAACTCTACTCTATTTTATTATACTCTACTCAATGCTCTGCTCTATTTTATAATACTCCATTTTCTACTATTCTCCATTCAATTTTTTTTCTATTCTACTCCATTTTCTACTCTATTTTATTCTTTCTACTCCATTTTCAACTCCACTAAATTTTTTACGCTATTCTGCTCTACTCTATTTTGCTCTGCTCTACTCTATTTTATTCTATTCTACTCTATTCTGCTCAGCTTTATTCTACTTTACTCTATTCTACTCCATTTCAACTCTACTAAATTTTTTACGCTATTCTGCTCTACTCTATTCTACTCTATTTTGCTCTGCTCTACTCTATTTTATTATATTCTACTCCATTTCTACTCTATTCTGCTCAGCTTTATTCTACTTTACTCTATTTTCTACTCTACTCTATTTTATTCTATTCTACTCCATTTTCAACTCTACTACTCATTTTTCTACGCTATTCTGCTCTACTCTATTATATTCTACTCTATTATGCTCTACTCTATTTTATTCTACCCTATTTTACTCTATTCTGCTCTGCTCTATTCTACTTTATTCTATTCTACTCCATTTTATACTCTATTCTGCTCTACTCTATTTTATTATATTCTACTCCATTTTCTTCTCTATTCTGCTCTACTTTATTCTATTCTACTCCATTTTATACACTATTCTGCTCTGCTCGATTCCATTATTCCCATTCTACACCATTTTCTACTCTATTCTGCTCTATTCTATTTTATTCTATTCTACTCCAGTTTATACTCTACTACTTCATTTTCTACTCTATTTTACTTTATTCTATTCTACTCCATTTTCTACTCCATTCTGCTCTGTTGTACTCTATTTTATTACATTCTACTCCATTGTATACTCTATTTTATTCTATTCTACTCCATTTTCTACTCTAATACACCATTTTCTACTCTATTCCGCTCTATTCTATTTTATTCAATTCTACTCGATTTTATACTATATTCTGCTCTACTCTATTTTATTCTATTCTACTTCATTTTCTACTCTATTCTGCTCTGCTCTATTTTATTCTATTCTACTTCATTTTCTACTCTATTCTGCTCTATTCTATTTTATTCTATTCTTCTCCGGTTTATACTCTACACCATTTTATACTCTATTCTACTTTATTCTATTCTACTCCATTTTCTACTCCATTCTGCTCTGTTGTACTCTATTTTATTACATTCTACTCCATTTTCTGCTCTAATACACCATTTTCTATTCTACTTTATTCTGCTCTATTCTTTTTTCAATTCTACTCGATTGTATACTCTATTCTGCTCTGCTCTACTCTATTCTACTCAATTTTCTACTCTACTCTATTCTGCTCTACTCTATTCTATTTTATTCTATTCTACTCCATTTTATACTCTACTCTATTTTATTATATTCTACTACATTTTCTACCTCACTCTATTCTGCTCTACTCTATTCTATTTTATTCTATTCTACTCCATTTTATACTCTACTCTATTTTATTCTATTCTACTCCATTTTCTACCTCACTCTATTCTGCTCTACTCTATTCTATTTTATTCTATTCTACTCCATTTTATACTCTACTCTATTTTATTATATTCTACTCAATTTTCTACCTCACTCTATTCTGCTCTACTCTATTCTATTTTATTCTATTCTACTCCATTTTATACTCTACTCTATTTTATTCTATTCTACTCCATTTTCTACCTCACTCTATTCTGCTCTACTCTATTCTATTTTATTATATTCTACTCCATTTTTTACTCTACTCTATTTTATTCTATTCTACTCCATTTTCTACCTCACTCTATTCTGCTCTACTCTATTCTATTTTATTCTATTCTACTCCATTTTTTACTCTGTTTACTTCTAGAATAAAATCTAACAAAATAACTCACTAGAATTTGGAGCAACGCGTAAAATATTGCACATACAGGCAACTAGCGAAGGTAAAACCTCTTGAAATATAAACATAAACCTAAAATGAAAAGGTCTTGCACACCCAAATAGGTGCGTTGCAAACACTACAAAAAAATCGATCCCACACACACACTACTTAAAGGGTTAAACGCCACACTGATATTCAAATGAGCAATGTCTCAGGCAATCCGCCTTCCTCTGGCTTCTCTTGCAGAGAAATATAAAAGAACAATCCGGAAGACAACGCGTCTCTACTGAAGGTATTTCCAGGACTGACCAATGCTAAAGATCACTACAACTCACAGAACCAGAGTGTGTGTGTGTATGACCATGGACACGTGGTTGAGACTGTGTTGGGTTTTCTGTCTCATTTGCATTATTTAATTGCATTTTATTATTGGCCCCTGCATTATATGAGGCATGCATGACTCTCTCTGCTCTAATGTCTGCTGTGACCGAGGTCGTGGTGCACGTCTCCTGCTCTTAACCCCTTAATGGGAGTCATTAATCTGGACGATGTGTGTGTGTGTGTGTGTGGACAAGGCCTTAAACACACCCGCTGACTTACAGGAAGAGTTTGAATTAGAACACAAACTGTTCACAACTGGAAAACACAACCGGAACAGAAACTCTGGCTCAGGGAAACTAAAGAGGCAGAAAAAGAAAAGCCTGAATCCTCCAAGGCTGAATGAAACGACACACATTATTTGTTTCCCGGGTGAAGAAGGAGTCATCCTCAAGAACAAACCGGTCTGAACAAACTGCAACACACTCTGACTGATTAAAAATACATAATGCACAATCACCACTTGACAATACAACGGCCCAAATCCATCCTGAGCGGCAGAGAGTCAAACTGGGTCACTGTCTAAGGGTTATCTGAGGAGACACACACACACACACACACACACTATAACACTGACACACACATTCACAGAAACAGACACACACATACACACTAACACTGAGACACACATTCACACCGAAACTAACATAGAAACAGACACACACACACAAACACTCACAAAGACACACACAAACACTAACACTCACACAGACACACAAATTAAAACTAACACACTCAAACAGAGACACACATACACACACATAGAGTCACATTCACAGTCACACTAACACAGACACACACACTCACTCACACAGACACACACATTAACACTAACACACTCAAACAGAGACACACATACACAGACACACACACTAACACTCTAACACAGATACACACACACACACACACACACAGTAACACACAAACTAACACTCTCTCTCACACACACACACTAACACACTCAAACAGAGACACACACTCACAGTAACACACACGCTAACACTCTCACACAGATACACACACACACTCACAGTAACACACAAACTAACACTCTCTCTCACACAGACACACACACACTAACACACTCAAACAGAGAAACACATACACAGACACACACACTAACACTCTCACACAGATACACACACACACACACACTCACAGTAACACACAATCTAACACTCTCTCTCACACAGACACACACACACACACACACACTAACACACTCAAACAGAGACACACACACACTAACACTCTCACACAGATACACACACACTCACAGTAACACACACACTAACACTCTCACACACACTAACACTCTCACACAGATACACACACACTCTCACAGTAACACACAAACTAACACTCTCTCTCACACAGACACACACACACACACACTAACACACTCAAACAGAGAAACACATACACAGACACACACACTAACACTCTCACACAGATACACACACACACACACAGTAACACACAAACTAACACTCTCTCTCACACAGACACACACACACACACACTAACACACTCAAACAGAGACACACATACACAGACACACACACTAACACTCTCACACAGATACACACACACTCTCACAGTAACACACAAACTAACACTCTCTCTCACACAGACACGCACACACACACTAACACACTCAAACAGAGACACACATACACAGACACACACACTAACACTCTCACACAGATACACACACACACACACAGTAACACACAAACTAACACTCTCTCTCACACAGACACACACACACACACACACACACTAACACACTCAAACAGAGAAACACATACACAGACACACACACTAACACTCTCACACAGATACACACACACACACTCACAGTAACACACACACTAACACTCTCTCACACACTAACACTCTCACACAGATACACACACACACACACACTCACAGTAACACACAAACTAACACTCTCTCTCACACAGACACACACACACTAACACACTCAAACAGAGACACACATACACAGACACACACACACTAACACTCTCACACAGATACACACACACACTCACAGTAACACACACACTAACACTCTCACACACACTAACACTCTCACACAGATACACACACACACACACTCACAGTAACACACAAACTAACACTCTCTCTCACACACACACACTAACACACTCAAACAGAGACACACATACACAGACACACTAACACTCTCACACAGACACGCACACACACACTAACACACTCAAACAGAGACACACATACACACACACACTAACACTCTCACACAGATACACACACACACTCACAGTAACACACAAACTAACACTCTCACACACACTAACACTCTCACACAGATACACACACACACACACAGTAACACACACACCTCTGCTCTTCGGAGACGCTCCAGGTCATCGCCTTCATCACAGCGCTCAGGTTAAATATGATTCATGTAAATTTCTCTCACAGATGTTGAGTAAACAAGAGGGCTGATGTGAGCAGAGGGGATTGTGGGATTGAGAAGACAGACTAGAGTCCGATCGGATGAGGAGCCGTGGATGAACTCCAGA